GGGCCGGAGGTGGGGAACGGTGCGAATCGCAGTAGCCGCAGCGTCTTTTCGATCCTAAACGAGGAGCTTGGTCTCCTTCTCCAACTTCACCAGGAAGAGTGGGATTTGCTGCGACAGTCCTGACTACCTCTTGAGTTTCTTCCTGGCTGGATCTGCCTTAAAGGCTCTTCAGTGCAGTGGCCCTGCAGGAATCTGGGTGATCCAGTGGGAGTAAGCCCCAGCCCCATCTAGGGTACAGCTCGCTGGTGAACTCTTTTAATAGGGATGTACGTTTCTTACTTTTGTTTCCCGTTCCTGGGAGAGTGCTTGAATCACCGGTTAAGTAGTGCAGGAATTGTAACATCCCTGGCCACCTTTTTTCACAGCAAGAGAGCAAACCCTCCTCAGGTCTTCCAGAGAATGCAGGGGAGCGTCTCCTCCCAGATGATTCCCAGCAGTGGATCCCAGGCTGATGGAGGCATATGTACAGTCCTGCTTCCAGCACCCAGCAAGCAAAGGGATTTTAGCCAGACTTCTCTTTTCATTGATTCCTGTTGAAAGGAAGATCTTGGTTGAACACAATGACTTTCAGGGATCTGTTTCTTTCCTCTGTAGAGTGGGATCAGCACCTTCTTCTGGATCCCGCTTGGGTCAGGTGTCTGAAATCCAGATGTTGCTGGGCCTGATTTTAGATCATGTCTTGTGTCCAGTTCTTCAAAAGGCACTAAATGCCACTTTTTTTTCTTTGCATAGGTAAAAAGAAATTGTAGGCTTCTGAAACACAGATGCACAGTATTCAACAATTTTGCTGTTGCTGTATTCTTTTTAAAGCACAATGAAGATGGTACCCAGCCACAGCCGAGTGGCTGGTTTTCTGCTAGGAGGCTGTGGTTTTGTCCCTTTATTTCTTGATTTGAACATTGGTTACAGAAATGTGGCAGCAGTTCAGGTCCCTGATCCAGAGCATCCTGTGTGCCTGTCTCCCAATACAGCTGGACAACCAGGCAACTGAACTGTCTGCTGCTTTTTGCTTGGGGAGACCTTGTGACAGGATTTGGGGGATCTGTGAGCTTCAGTGCTTCTGGGTTTATTGCACAGTTACTCCTGGCCAGGAGAATAAGCTAACCAAGTACTGCACTTCCAACCAGGGCACTGGGTTCTCAGGAGCGTGTCTTACCGAAATGAATCATTTTCCAAGTGTTGTTGAGGAGGCAAGAAGATGTGTGAAGAAACCATTAGGGTATAGTGGTAAGGGGAAGGTCACTAATTTGTAAAATGAGCAAAAGGCTTTTGTAAGCCTAAGCTCAGGAAGGAAGTAATAGCATTTGGCCCTGGTTCACTTGCTGGTTCTTACTGAGCTGGCTCAGCTGGAGCTTGGTGCAGCAGAAATTCCCTCTGAAGGCTAGTATGACTGCTCATGAGTAAGAAACACTGCTTGGGCAATGAATCCACATTAATGTAATATGCTGTAGTGTGGCGCAATGTGTGAGGGTGTTGTTGCAGTGAGCTTGGAGGTGGGAGTTGCTAAGGATCATGGACCAAGGTGCAGCAGATCCAATTACCTGTGGACGGACATCAGAGGAAGCCAGTGTATAACTGCTTAAAGCATTCCTCGTTAGAGCTTTTGTCCTAATAAATGGCTTTATCTCCTTTATTTTTATAGTATTCTGCAGGAATTTACATTGAAAAATAAGAGACTTAAAAAAAGCTGAAGAGCACTTCTTTGTATTTTTGAGATTGACAGTTGTTCTTCTGATGAAATATGCCAAATTCTGAGAGATTTCTCTCTCTCTGCACCTTTAGGGGCTCATTCCCACCCTCCGGTGGTGGTATAAATCAGCTGTGATCACCGAACAGCAGAAGCTGACTTGCGGGCTGCAGTTTACTGAAACGTCACAAATTGTGACAGCAATAGGCAGCTTTTGTTGCACTTAATTTATCTGGAAGAATTAAATTCTTCCCCTCCAGTATTAATGTGTCCAGGAAATACGATCTGAAACTCAGCAGGTTTTTTAAGGGTTTTCTCTGAGTTACACAGCAGTGTGCCTGACTTGTTAAATAGTTTTCTGTTGGAATAAAGTAACTGGCTTTGGAAGGTTATGGAGTAAGTAAGCGTAGTTTAGGCTTGGAATGAAGACTTACAAGGTTAATCTCTAAACGTCAGGCAAGTTGTTACTGAATATGCAGCCAGGTTTCTTGAGTGGATTCTCTAACAGTTTCTTCAGGGTGAGTGCTTTCCCTGAGTCCACTTGAGCATCTCACGTAGTTGTTCAGGTTTTGTCCACCTCAAGTTGTTGGGGGAAGAGATGTACCTTCAGAAGGTAATTTTATAGTTTTTATATATATATAAAGTTTATATATATATATATATATATATATAAAGTTTTAGGAGGTGTAGTACATAGCTCGAGGCATGTTCATTTTTCCCAGATGTCTGGGAAATACGTAGATGTCTGTACTCTGTGAGTTTACCCTAGATCCTAAAGTTTTAGATATTTTCAGTTAGCTGAGATTCAGCTCTTCTGTTATACTCTAGAATAAAAATGTTTCACATGAGCTTTAATTAGAAAAATCAAACGATGCAATGCTGAAAATGCAAGCTGGGGAAGACAGTCTGTAGTCTGTCAGATTTACGTGTGAAATGCTGCTCTGGGGAGCAAAAACATCAAAAGAGTGACTTGTCACTGTGCTGCTGGGAGCAGGGGAGAGAGATTTGGGCTGGTTTAAGCTTAGTCAGTGGAGCCAAGATGAGCTGAATCAGCTGAGGCCTCTCGTGGGGATGCCATCTCTAAGGCGGTTGTACCAATTAAGTATAGTATTTGTAGTACTTGCATGCTACAGATAAGCAGAAGACAGCTTTTACTAGTGCTACAAATGCTATCATTTCCAGTGTTATACATGAGCGTGTGGCTAGCTAGCTAACAAATCATGTTTCATCTTACTCTTATCTTTCTGTTATGCTTGACCAAGCTAAGTTTACAGAGCACCTTGCGTATGATCAGCCTTTGTTTAAACCTCTGTTTTCTTACAGTAAATTGCTTGGATCGACATGTCGAAAAGTCTCCAAACAGAGTGGCTTTGATTTGGGAGAGAGATGAGCCCGGCACTGCAGTGCATGTCACGTACAGGTATGGCACCTTCTCACGATAGTTTGTGATGCCTGGCAATGTGGTGGGGCAGGGAGAAGAGCTGCTGCTCTGAAATCAGACCTCTGTGAAACTCTATTTTCTTCCAAGGTACTCCAGCACATAGGATGCTCAGCCACAGTGCTGCAGCTAGGTTGGGGTGCCATGATGAGATAGCTCCTGAAAAACAGAGGCATGTTCCCACAAAGAAATTATATTCTTCCCTTGGGTTCTTCATGGAGAGGGCTCCCTGATCTTAGACACCTGTGTAATAAACTATTACAGGGTGAGAGGTACAGTGGATGTAAGTGAGTGACAGCTACTGAAAATTTCAGTTTGAGATCTGGCATCGTCTTCTGGTTATGGTGTTAATCAGGCCTACCTGTAGATTCCCTTCTTTCTAAGTGGGGGCTTTTAGAAGAGAGAGGCTTGTTTTTTTCTCCCTGACTTATGTTCTCACCTGTCAGTATTATTTTTGCTCATTAGAAATCTTCATGGGAAAATTTCTGTAAGCAGCTTTTGCATTCAGCACAGCAGCAAATATCTTGGTGCAAACATCTTGCGTTGATAGTCAATAGCATGATACAGAGTCCTAGCTGGAGGGGATTTGAAGCTCCCTGTGTCCTCTTCCCCATCCTCAGTGCAGTTTAGAACAACCTTGAGACTGCTTTGAGTGATGCTGACTTGTAATTCTGCTATAGATTGTAGAGTTTGTTAGAACATGGCCATTATCAAGTACATTTCTCCTCTGCCTGCTATGTGCCCTCATTTAGGAGACAGGCCTGCCTGCAACTATGCCTTTTACATCATCTGTGCCTCTAGTGAGAGTTAAAGGTTTCACAGAGTTGTGCATTCTTCAGTGCATATTTTAGGGAGCCACACGTTTGATCTGCTAGATATCAGGGAGCCATGTGTTTCATCTGCTGGATCAGAAAGTAGAGGAGACATAGGAAGGCCTAGCATCTGACTCTTTCATAAAATGTTTTCTGTACCTTGTTGATAGTTGGGATTCCTGGCTCTCCTTGAGTCTAAATAGGTTCTGGTGGCCTGGTGTACCTACAGAATTTATTAAAGCTCCTGAAGACATTATTCATTCGAGTGAGGAAGCTGGTCAGCAGTGAGGAGTGGGTGTACAAATAGCTTTGAGAGGTTAGTGCTCCGTGCAACAGAAATAAACACTATCTGATACAAAGCCGTGGAAGAAGTGGATTGTTTTTAATCTTGGTATTGTTATTTGACAGGCTATGTAGGTGTGTTATGATATAAATGTAACCAACTGAGTAGCTTGGCTAAATGCTTTGAGTTTTGCTTTTGCCATTCTGGTGCTAGAAAAGGAGGTGGAATCAAAGGTTTGTCCCAAAGTTTGGGGTGGTGTATGTACTTTTACCACTCCATGTCCCAGGCATGAAATCTGGGAGTAGTTCAGAGGTGGGAATTGTGCTCTGATTAACCTGAGAAGGTGAGCAGCCCATCAGATAGCACAGCCTCATTCAAGGCAACTCTAGCCTCCTCCTTCGACTGTGCTCCTTGAAATGTGCTGAGCTGCTCCAGACCTCAAACCATCTTCTCAGGATCTCTGGAGATGTGAGAAGGCCTTTCTGAACAGCAACAGAACTGTTTTTTTCTTGACCATGCCAAAATGTATTTGGAAGAAAGCATATTTTCAGCGAGTGTATTTATGACTGCTGTGGCTTGAAGACAGGTAACTCACATCTGAAAACTGAATCCCTCTATGTACAGCCTTACAAAGACATGGTAACTAGCAACCCGAAAGGAGAACATCTAAGTGAAAGACAAGTTGGCAATATCTATTTTTGAACTTCTGCTTGTATTTGAGAGCTGTGTTCCTGTTTCTGCCTGATAATCTTGGTGAGATGTGACTGAATTTGAGTGACATAGTTTCTCAAGAGACTTTGGTCCTACAACGTGGTAAACAGGTCACTTAGTTCGCTGCTTATCTCATTGTCAGGAAAAGCTTTGTTGAAAACGGTGATATTATATGGGTGTGTACACAAGGAGGGAGTCAAAAGTTTTGCCTTTTCTGTGATCTTTGGGATGCATTTTTAAAGGTTTTAAATGGGGCAGTGTGGTTTTCCAAGGTGTGTTGGTACTGGCCTCCCTTTGAGGCTGAGCTTAGTTGAAAACTTTTTGCAGTAGCACCTTGTTTTAGGTAGAAGTTTCGTGAGGGAAAGCATATGAAAAAAAGAGGTAGCCCAGAGGCTGTGATGCTGGTTGAGTAATCCTCTGAGAGCCTTCTATAGCAGGTGGTCTCTGCATGTCAGCCTCAGTGCAAGACAGCCCCAACGTAAAGAGGGAATGAGAGGGATAGTGGGTATCAGAAGGAGCCAAAATCTGGTGTCAGTGGCAGAGGAGATGTTCCCCTTTCCTTAGGATCCAGATGCACTGTTAATGGGACAGCAGCCTTAAAGTTGTGTGCTAGGAAGGTAGAGACTTTCATTTGGCCACTTTCTTACAGACCAGCTTTGGGGAAGGTCTTGGAATCTCAGCTAGGACATGTCCAGGGCTTAGATTCAGGGAAGTACAAGGCTCCAGTTTTTTGCATTATCTACTTTGCAAAGCTTCCTGCTGTGAGCTGCTTCTCCTTATAGGTAACCCCTAGGTAGCACAAGGAAAGACATGGTTGCTAGTGTGGGTGCTCTCCCTTCTCCTCTGGGGAGCTGTTAGGGGCAAGAAAACAGCCGAGTACTGGCCACATTCCTATCATTGCCTGCAAAGGAAGCAGGTGGCTGTGCAGGAAAAGCGCTGGAACAGTCTTCCTCCTCCCTGAGGAAGGGGAAAGCCTCTATCAGCAGGGCTTCCGCCATGCATTGGCAAGAAACAGAACTACATTGAAAAGCGCTGTCCCAGCTTGCTCATCCTTGGGAGAAATAACAGCCTCCACTTGCCTCTGCTGCCCTACTAACTGCCTAGCTTGCAGGGGGCAAAGAGCTGGTGGGGCCATGCTGTAAATCAGCAGACATCTCCATGCACACTTGTCAGCAAGATGGGTTGTGTTTATGCAGCTAAGTTCAATTGGTCTGTGCTAGGAGAGGAATCCAAAGATGTCCTTATTGGCAAAGATACACAAAGCCATGGGTGAAACATTTCAGTTTTGCTTGAATGATGGTTGCTGCCCTTACGAGCTCAGTTGTGATGATCTTTTTTCACTGCTGAGTTTTGTCCTGTCCCCAGCTGACACAACTCAGACTTTCAGGAAAAAAAGGTTCCCTGTATTCTCTTGTGTTTTTTCCCCACTCTGGCTTTCATTTTTATCAAGTAGAAATTCAGCTACGTTTCAAATTATCTCCAGTTTTGAATGGGAAGGCAGGAGACTTGGGTTTTTTACTGCTTTGTGAGAACAGGGCATGCAACCCTCCTGGGATTTGACGGCTGCAGTCAGCAAAGTGGGGACAGATCATGCCAGGTCTGGCTCTTCAGAGGCTAAACCACCATAAACTCATTGGTAGGGCAGTGGCGAAGTAGCAGTTAACCCACAGGAGTGTGCTGCTGTGATCAGCCAGCTGAATTTATTGGCAGAAGGGTCCAATCCAGCTGGGAGTGTTTTGTCCTGCTCTGTAGATGTTGTCAGGGCCCAGGAACTTTGAAACCTTGCAGAGGAATTCCCCAATGCATTGCTGAGCCTGGGTTTTAAAGGGCACTGTATTATCAAGTGCCTTATATAAGCAGGTGGAGTTGGTAGCTGGAGCTGTTGCGTTGCAGGCTAGGTAAGCTCAGCAACAGGGAATGTTAAAGACAGCAGCTAAAGTCATGCCAGATCTCCCCCGGTCCTACAGGGGATTACTTATTCTCTCTGGTGTTCCCTTGTTTACCACAGTCTCTACAGGTTAGCCATCTGTGAACCAGTGTTTCTTAGTACTGCAGAAGCCCATGCATATTGCCAAAGGGAGCTGTGTGAAGAAGTGGGCAGCAGTATGCGTTAGCTAACCTGTTTTTGCAAAGGGTTGAAGGCTGTTTCTCAATGGAAGAGGTTTGATTTATGAGGGAACTCACTCTGTTGCAGAAAATGTTGAGTGCAGAGGGAATGTTCAAACTGAAAATACAAAGTAGGGAGAGGAAAGCAGAAGCTGAGGGGTCAGAAGTTAGGGTCCTGGGTAGCTTTTCGTAGGGTCCAACCACTTCTCTCCTAGCTACTTAGGACATCTTCATTAGCTGCATCACATCTATGCCTTTAACAAGCCAACAGATGGTGGTTCCTCAGCCCAAGCTGAAATGGTTGAAGTTTGTATTAGAGATCAGAGTCAAGGCTGCAAGCCGGAAGCCGTGTGGGTACTTAATGGGTTGTGCAATACAAAAGGTGTTTCTTATTGACAGCAAACTCTTTCCGTCCCTGCCTACCTCCTCTTTCCTTTCCTGGGTACATCTTACCCAAGCTTTTAGCCTTCCCCATCTAAGGCAGCTCAGGGACTTTTCACTTTCTTACCTGAAAAAGGCCACAGGGTGTTTTCCTTGCCCTGAGTTCAGGATGTCTGCAGGAAGGTTGGACAATTGTGCTGCCTTAGCAATTGAACCTACAGCCAAAAATCCTCATGTTGAGCTTTGTATTTTTCAGTTATTCTCACTAAAGTGGAAACGAATGTTGAGTTTTCCTTTTGGTGAAAAAAGAAAACACGTTTTCTCTATTTAGCAAAAAGTGAGGGAAATGGACGGTTATACTGAGGCACTATCACAGAAGCTGCAGTGGGGTGTGAATAGGTTTGTGCATTATCCTTGTGGCCAGAACGTTGACCCAGGAAGAAGAGATGGGTGTGAAGACCTACTGTGTCCCAGGGGACTTGAACCCCCATCTCAAACAACAGTACCCACCTGCAGTACTGGGATTGCAAGGTATGGAGGCTGGCTTTGAACTCTGCTGCTCCTCAGTGATTCATGTAGAGCAAGAGCTAGAAGGTGAGATATGAGTGTGTTAGGCTGAGAGATGCCCAGATCTGGGGGTTTTGAGGGTGGTTTGTTTGTTTGTTGGGTTTTGGGGTTTTTTTTGCACT